AATATCGGCCCGAGGTCTTGACAGTACGGACCGAGCGCAGCGAGGTCCGTACAAAAAAGACCGAGGGCCGATATTCTTCCAGTACGGTCCCGAGCAAGCTTGGTTAATAAGAGATTTATTATACGACTGAAGTTCAAAGGGACACAAGTACGGTATCATTCGGGACCATTCGGGACAGTGCCCGGTCCAATACTGAGAGAATATTGACCGGCAATAGAGCATTTTGATTGGTTGATTTTAGTTATTGGCCCTCTAACTGCCCGAGTCGTGTAATAATGCCATGTAACGCCGCTTCTGAAATCATTGCACTGGCCGCCCGTCAAATATAGAATCAACTTTAAAGTGCTTTTAATTACTTTTAAGCTATCCACGGTCTGGCGTCCGTCTATATTAGCGAATTAATCTGAATTAGAGACGTATCATCAAGTCAGAGATATTGCCTGCGTTCAATGAACTCCTTGACGTTAAACTATCCTGCATTGCAGTCTCGCAAGACTCTCGGAGAGCGGTCATTCTTCGTGGCCGCCCCCAAATTATGGAACGAGCTTCCTAGTGATATCAGGGACCTAAATTCAATTAATAAATTCAAGACGGCAATCAAGACTTATCTTTTTAGATTAGGCTTTTTATAGTGTTAGATGTGATGCTTTTTTTATTATTTTATATTTCCTGCTTGCATTTATATATTTTAATTTACATTTACATTTGTATTTTAATATATTTGTATTAAGATCATATTGTAATGCGCCATTGAAAATTTATATTGATAACTGCGCAATAGAAATTAATAAAATTGTTATTGTTATTATTATTATTATTATTATTATTATTATTATTATCAGTGCTGTGTTTAAGGCTCGCACGAGCCTTCCAAAACAAAACTGTAAAAAAATTTTTTATTTTTAAAATCAATACTTTACGAAGAAACCCTTAAAATACAACCCAATGTTGATGTTTAGCAACTTGTTTAAAAAATCACAACAATCCACCCTGGTCAACGAACGCGACAAACGACGCAATTGCAAAAATTACTGCTGGCGAGAAATGTAAGGTAAACATCAACAGGCACCGAAAAGATTTATACTATTTGAACGCCGTCAAACGGGGTATACGGATGTGCATTGAATAAGTCGATATGGGACGAATTCGTTGAACCAATCAAGTAGTACAAAGAAATTGAAAGAAGGCAATTGCGCACTCAATCGAAAACCGCTCTGCCAGGATAACCCCTGCCGGCTTTCACAATCGTTGCTCAAAGAAATAAATGAGACAGAGGGGTATACCCCAATCACGCCTTTAGAAAATGTTACTTTCGTTCCATTGTCATAATCGCCGGATAAAATGACAGCAGGTCTTGCTATGGAGATCCCAAAACGAGAGGCTTAGAGAAATTAAGGAAACCTCTCATTACCACTTCGATAATGTTGCCAGGCATAAACGCTATTTTGCGTGCCTTAAGAGGCATTGCGCCCTCCTTTTACAACTTCAGTACCTTAAAATGACCATTGTGAATAACAATTTAGTTCTTTACAAGGGCCCTCGTTACTCTTGTTCAGCAGTTTAAGAAGGACCCTGGAAACGAGACCAGATTCTGTAACTGAAGGTGTGCGTCAAACTTTCCTTCCTTCTCAATACCACGATAAACACAATGTTCAATCGGGAGAAGCACTTTTACGAGAATTTCGAAGTGAACAAAGCACAAGGCGGTACCACAAACACAGAATTTGCGTTCCCAAGACAATGTTTGGTGTTAGGCGACCCTCGCGTTGGCAAGACAAGTCTTGTAAAGTCGTTAACTGGAAAGCCATTTGATCCAACCGAAAAAACAACGCAGGGAATAGACCAAAGTCTTGTGGACCACAAGTGGAAAACTTGCGACATGAAGGATCTTGTTTTTGGTGACTTGTGGAGATATCTCAAAACAGGCGACGTGGAGTTGGCCCTGATTGGAACTGGAAGACAAGTCAATAAGGTTCTCCTCCAGGATTTAGATATCGAGATGGCTACTAGTCTTCTGCGGCTCCTCAATTACTTCGTTGCTCTATTTTTAACATGCTTATTCCTTTTGGGAACAGTAATGAAATTTTCTGTGGAACTTTTCTTAATTTATTACATTTACTACGGTCACCGAATATTTTCGACTTTTGCTTTAAACTTTGAGACTTCGACTTATTTGAGATTTATACTCGCTAGTTTGGCTTTCACATTGAACCGCTCAGGATTGCTTATAGGGTTATATTCAGCGATACTGATTTGTCCTTTTTATGATAGTTACTTTGACTTTGCCAGTACTCGTGAGTTTATTATGTTGAGCACAGTTACAGGAATTGCATTTCTCGCTATTTTCCTCTTTATAGGACCACTACGACTACCCTTTGGTTTAGATCAACTTGCGAGGAATCAAGCCTTTATTAAGTTACTCCGCTATTGTCGATTACCGCTATCAATCTCTACAGGATTAATTTTGGGCTTTATTGTTTCAATGTCGCTCGGGGAAAGCCCTGTCAGAAATGCCAATGAGAAGGCCCTGTTATCCCCACTACGAGTATCAGAAATACCAACAACTAAAATCCCTCTATGTAAGATGAAATGTCGCATAGCGTTCCTTTACCTCTTAAATTGGAATAACGACCACGGTGCCGTCTTTCTCAGTCTTCTTGCGAGTTTTGTGATGGAATTTCCAACTACAATTTGGAACAAGAAATATTTTCAGACCAAATTTTTAGCAGCCATGAAGGTGGACATAACCTTGGCACCTTTAGTCGCTCTGTGTTTCATACTTTTCTATTATTACTTTAGAATAGTATTTCAAGTATGGACTAAACCATTTTTGACACTTTTTTACTTTTTGATATTATTTTTTGTGCACATCTGTTTAACTTTACATCAGGAATGGTTTTGCAGCGATTCAGAAAGTAATGACACAATATTTGTACACCCTCCGAACAGTTTCTTGACAGTAGCACTGATTGGGAAAGGGGAAATTAATGTAAATAGGCTTCAAAATGCCCTAAATGCAAAATATCCCTCTTTGAAGGTGAAGGTTCTTGATTTCGCCGGTGACAAAGAATATTATGCGTATCATCATATGTTTCTCAGGAGCCAGGCTGTGTATCTCATTGTATTTAAAATGACCGACTTTGCCCAAGATGACCTTAATTATTTTGATGCTGAGAGGCTTTGCTTTTGGTTTGAGTCTGTCTGTAGTCATGTGTTGCCCAAAACACCTATCTTCCTTGTTGGAACACACAGTAAAACCATAGACAAGAAACGCATACAGGTGTTGAATAACTACTTCAAGCAAACCTTTTGGGGATCCTATTGCGACGAGCTGATTGTCAATGAAGATGACGATTTAATCTTCTTTCCAGTTGAGAACTCAAAGGGTGAAAATGATCTTGGAATTCAAAAGCTTCGAATCAAAATCATGGCTGCTGCTGAGGAATGCAAGCCAACCACAGATCAGAAGGTTCCCTTGTCATGGATTAGGATTCAAGATGCAATCATCCAGCTGAGGCAAAAGAAGGCTGCCAGGTTTTGTGTGACACTAAAAGAGTTTCCATGGGCATTTGGTAACAACATTCACACTGACTGGTCAGAAGAGACCTTGAAATACTTCCATGAACAAGGCCTGGTAATATACATTTACAAAGATGAAGACCTGTCCAACTGGGTTCTACTCAAACCACAACTACTGGTGGATATAATCATCCAGCTTGTCAAGCCATCCCCTCAAGTTACCCAGCTGAGAGGGTTGAGGAGTGACTGGAAACTTCTCCAGGAGAAGGGAGTGCTAACGAAACAACTCCTGGTCACCATCATTTCCAACGCACAGGAAAATGAAGTGGCCATCAGAGCATTCCTAGAAGAGTATGATTTGATCTGCCCACTGACAAACACAAAAGTCAAAATTGCCAGCTTAAGAGACAAAGAGAGACTCCAGCCATCTCACTTTGTCCCATCACTGTTACCAAGGTCTCAAGATGGATGCATCCCAGCATGGCATGATGACATGAGAGATAAAAAGTTCTTGGTCTTTTTTGAGAGGTTCCTACCAGAGCCCTTGTTCCATCGCCTGCTGTCTCGTGCCCACAAGAATAGTAAGGTGGAGTTTGTCAATGGTGCAACAGTTGTGTTCAGAGATGTTGGAAAGTTTTGGATGAGTCCTTGGCAGCCATATAGGCTTAAGCTGATTAAGAAAGAGAGCGTTATTGAAGTTACATTCAGCACCAGGTAATTGTACACCCTTTCCTCGACAACTAATAGGACTCAAGCTTTTCAAAACATTTGGTGGCTATACCACTCAAGAGACTTAAAATTATTATATAAAACTGTATGTCATTTGATAAGATGTATAATGTACAAAAATTTTCCCAGGAATCGTGTGAGTTTCAAATTTTTCTATGACCAGAATCTTTATTTTGTCTTATTTCTTGTAGCCTTGAAAATAGTGATTATGCAAGTAACTTAGCCAAAAGGGACATTTCTTGTGGCCAGGCTGGCAATGTGTTTTACCAAAGTTTTTGACTAACAATTTTCACTAGTAATCTTTAATAAGACATTCCTTTATTTTCCAGCAATGGTCGGGGAAAGAAGCCTTCAGATGTTTTATGCCAAGTGTACACCATGGTAGATGGGATTTGCAAGAGGAGTTTCCCTTTTGTAAAGTTTCACTGTGGTCCTGCCTGCCCCTCAGCCAAATGCCCTGGTTATCAAGACAACTACATGTACACACCATATCATCATTACCGACAACATGTGTTCAATATCATGCCTGGCCGTCAAGTAGATAAAACTGCCTCTTTGTACTGTGTCAACAGAAGTTTTGAAGATGAGCTACAAGAGTGGATACCATAGCTGGATTAGCCATTGAAAAGGTAAATATACCCAAGCTGTTTCTCAAGTTTAAGTTTCTTAAAATATACTACCTGCAAGGGTACCCAGATTAACACTTAATATATATCAATCTAAATTGCTTTTGAAAGGGTTCATTCTGATATCATTGACAGTGACTAAATGACAATGAATTATCAAAATGAAAGAATAAAATCTACATCATTATCTTCCATTTGCACCCTCTTCAATAAGATTCTCATAATTTTCCTTCATATGCAACACAGCTAGAAAAATTTGGGTCATTATATGTCTTAAATTTTCACAGAGAGTTTATCCTGACTGACAACAATTCCTTGACTGCAGGTTACCACACAAAACTACAAAAAAGTCCAGCTTTAAAACAAAGATTGTGGGATCTTCATGGAATCTAACTTGCCCTGGCAGTTTGTGCCTCAACTCATGTAGCAAATATTACATCACCACAATCTATGTTTTCTTTGTTAGTTTCCACACAGAGTGAAAATTTCCTGAAGCAAACAAAATTGGTTGGCATTTTTTGAAGAGCCAGAGCTACATGCAAAACCAGGACTTCCAGAGGAGGAGATTATACCACTCAATTTGTTGTATGTCAATAATACAATATTCACTATTCCTTTTCTTACTGCAGTCAGGTATAAACTTAGTGCAAAAGTTTCAACATTTAAACAGGAACAACATTTTAGAGAGATATTTACAGTACTAACAACATAAAGTCTATACATTTCATGAGTACTGGTTTAATGATGCAAGTCAGACAAAATTGAATCAATGATAGTAGAAATTTAGCCTGTTTCAAATGTGCATTCATTTTCTTGCACCTATAATTATTATGAATTTTGATACCAAAAAAGACCTGAAGCTCTGTATATCGCCACTGCTGTTGTTCTCAATTGTTGTTTTGTTTTTTTTAACTGGTATTGATAATTTTGACAGAGACTGTAATTTTTAATTTGTAGGATATATATGATTATGATATCATAGTTACAAATCTCTTAAAGAAACTGATTTATGATATTCAAGTTTTCAGTCTCCTTTTATATACCCTTTCACTCCCAAGATCTCATAAGAGATCCTCCTAATACTGTCTGCCATACAATTCTTATGATGTTACTTATGAGAAATTGGAATTGGATCAACTAATAATTCCCTATTTGTTATTTGGATCTTTATTCTCATCACTTGAATGTCTGCTTGATAATGTATTGACATTGTAAGAAGAAGTTCTGTCTTGGTCACTCTTGGGAGTCAAAGGGTCATTAATAAATCCTCCTGGTGTCCACTCTTAACTATAGATGATGATATATTATCTTTGCATCTATCAACAATTGTATTAGTACCAGAACAATAACATGGTTGCAAGTCAGAGAAACTTCCACTTTTGATTAGAGTGATCTTTAGTGCTCATGCATGACTCACTTGTTTAAATAATTTTCCTTTACAACCCAATTGCCACAAACCTGAAAACCAAAGAGACATCAATTCAGTTGCTCATTAAAATTTACAAAGTAAGGAATCAATAATCAATTTGGTTCTTGCAGAGCCAGCCTAAACTTCAATAGATCAGTCTTAGTTAACACCTTAAAAGGAATTTGTGCTTTGTTTTAACTGTTTCCCCCACCCACCCCCCTGTTAAAAGATCATTTAATTCTTATTGTCCCTTTATTAAAACATACATATAATGTATCAAATACATAAGTCATCCATGCCTGGAGGAAGATATTTGCATTTTACCTGGGTAGGGTGGGAAATTTGAGCCAGAACTGTCAAGTCTTTCCAGCAGAATAAATATCTTTTATCTTTTAAGGTGTTTTTAAGGTAAAAGCTCACTCTGGCAAGCATATGGCTCAAAGGGGAGTTCTTAAAGAAAGTCACGGTCACCACTTTTGCCTTTTACAAAAATTGACTATTAAATCTGACTCTTGGGTGAGGCATTTGAACATAGTGTTGAGCCTGGGGAGGGGATTTTAAAATGATCAAATCTTCAAAACTTTTTACAATTTTGAAGATTGCCGGTTCAGTTGGATTCACTTGAAAATGCGCAAGGGGGAGTTGCCGGCGGCGTG